ACTACATACATACATACATACATACATACATACATACATACATACATACATACATACATACATACATACATACATACATACATACATACATACATACATATACACACACACACAAACGTGCAGCAGCTTTTTCAAACTCCTAAAGTTGATTACCATTTGGAATTCTTTCAGAGCACGAATGAGCATGAGATTCTACGGCTACACAACAGACGGGTTATATTTCTCTGCCGCGAGAATCAGACAAAGTCTTAATGGCGAGAAACTGGAGTATTCATCTAACACTCCAGATAATAGCAACGTCTTTAGTTCCAAGAAAGAAGCGAAGTTTCCTTGGGAAAAAAATGAGTTTGCGGAAATATGTCTTCTCATGCTTAAAGAGGAGAAGACTGCTACGGTAAGTACCTACTTATTTCTTAAACACTTAGTTTTTCATGACGATATCCCTGTGCCTACTCGTTTCTTAGTGATGTGAGGAAAAATAAGAAACGTAGTTGTTATGTTAGAAGTAGTTTGTATCATTTTTTCTAAAAAGGAAGAAAAAAACACTTGTAATTGACCCTTCAAATCGCCCTTTTCCTCATCCTTTTCCTCCTCCACTTCCTCCTCGCTACCATTATTTATAGGTTTTCAGTTGTTTTTGTTTTGTTTTTTTATTAGTCACTTCCATTCGAGCGGACCATTTAAAAAAAAAAAATTTTTTGCACAAATCCATCTATCACAAGTTGAGTGACCAAATTTCCAAATAAATTCACAAAATCAGTACTGCGTGTGACCACCTGCTGCGTAGATGACTGACTGACACCGTCAACACATGGAAAAGATAAGTTATTGGATGAACTGATAGGAATCTGCAGCCAGATTCTTTCTAGCGATTACACCAGTTCATGTGCTGTTTGGGCCTGGTTTGGGTGTTGTGGTAGTCACCATTCTAACTCATGTCACAGATATCCATTTGGGGATGGATCTGGTGACGATACCGGCCAGGCAAGGGCATTGATGAGATTGTTCTGGAGTTCAGTCACATCGCAGGCAACGTGCGGTCTTGCGTTATCTTGTTGAAAGACATGTGAGGCATGAACTTGAAGAAAGAGGTCATTTTTTTCAGTTCTCTAATGTGTTGTTTTTTTTTTGTTGGGTTTTTTAAAATGTATTTTTGGGGGTGAATTAGGAAAGTAGGATTCTCAAATTGTGATGGGTACTCTCTCTCTCTCTCTCTCTCTCTCTCTCTCTCTCTCTCTCTCTCTCTCTCTCTCTCTCTCTCTCTCTCTTTTTCTTTCTCTCTCTCTTTCTCTCTCTCTCTCCCTCTCTCTCTCTCTCTCTCTCTCTTTCTCTCTTTTTTCTCTCTCTTTCTCTCCCCGTAGCATGGCCATTTCCGGGTTGCTTTCTGTAGCGTGTCTTCCTTCCTCTTTTGCACTCATTAATGTGCGTTTTCGTTCACTTGGGGTGCATTTTGCTTTTTTAAATTGTTTCACTAGCCTGCACATACACACTCACACACATGTCACCATCACCATCATCATCATCATCATCATCATCATCATCATCATCATCATCATCATCATCATCATCATCATCATCATCATCATCATCGTCACCACCTGCAGCACCAGCAGCAACACCAGCAGCAGCAGCAGCAGCAGCAGCAGCAGCAGCAGCAGCAGCAGCAGCAGCAGCAGCAGCAGCAGCTCGTTGGTAATAACTACTAACTTCACCTTTTTTCAACATATTTTTCAGGTCTCAATGTCTGGCACGATTCTCCTGACCGCCACAATTTCCGAAAGCATTCCCATTGGAAACACCACCAATTTTAGATTGAGGCCCTCAATACTAGTGTTAACTGAAGTCAACATTACTTACGAGTGACTACTGTGACATGGTGTTGTTGTGTTAGTTCCACTCAAAGCCCGGTTGGAACAGAAAGTAGAAAGTCATTTCGGAGGGGTGGACTCACAAGAGAATCAGTCCTTCCTTTGGGGACCTTAGACAATGTTGGCAAAAATTCAGTGTTCAAGTTCTCAAAAGGCAATGTGAAATAACATAATAAACAATGACAATGTGAAATAACATAATAAACAATGACAATGTGAAATAACATAATAAACAATGGCAATGTGAAATAACATAAGTATATGTTTTGCGCCCTTATCAACACTGTTAGGATATTTAATAGGAAGAGTGACCTTCGAGTTTAACGTTCGTCTCCAAAAGGAGCGAGTCGAAATGGAAATTCATGTAAAGTGTCTTTTCTAAAGGCACAACGTTGTCATTCACTCTTACCTCATTGAATAGATCTTCAAAAGAGACTCTTTTTTTTTTTTCAAGGAATGATTTGCCCCTTTCTTGGAACTATAAAAAATAAACCGTGTGTGAGTTTTGAACACAGGAGGCTGGGCGTAGAATAAAGTGTACTTTCTTTTTTTTTTTTTAAACTGAGCTGACACTTTTTCCTGACGCAATAAAATACATGTAGTTCGAATATATGGCATCCCCAGTTTTCCCTCAGTGCCGTTTTATGAGAGAAAAACGTAAATGCCAAATATGAAATTTTATAAGAGAGGCAAAAAAACTAACTTTTTGTATGAGTTTCAACTTAACAAGAATTTGGTTGATCTGATTATTTTATGTCAATATTCATTGGCCGGTGTGACTTTTGTCTGATTTGTTCAGGTATACAGTTATATGGTTATGGAGTCTTTGATAGAAATTTCTTTTGTCAATACAATACCGATTTGTAATTAAGTCACAACACATATTTTCAAAAGCCCAAATTTTCCTTAATTGTAATTGTACAGACATAAAACGCAGATAGAAAAACGCGCCATGAAAAGGAGTTTCTTACCTGTACAAAAACGCTATGCCTCCGTGACCTAATTACGCATAGGCCTATACGTCTTTGACCATAAGATGGCAGCCCTGTGATCCTCAGTTGTTTTTCCTGGAGTAGGCTTAGATCTATAGTTCTAGAGAAAATATATTATACATCAAAGACAATGTCTGTGATTATCTCAATGACTCCCCAAGAGTGGGATATCATGCACTGGTTTAATATAGAAGCATGAAGCAACAGAAACTATGAGGTCATGTGCATGAGTACTAACTCTTTACTTTGTATTTTTTCATCCTCTGATGCGGTTAAGCGTCGAGAGGAGATGAAGTTTTCTATGGTAGACCAGCTCTGCAACTCTTTCAGTTGTGATGCTAAGGGTTTCCTAAGGGTTTCCTTGACACCCTTGGTCCACCTTTTGAGTGGCCTTCCTCTTCCTTTATAGCCTGAGTGCTTAGTGTTGTAGGCTCTCGAGGCTGGCTGGTCAGGTGACATGCGTAACAGGTGGCCAAACCATTTTATCCTCTGTCTTTCTACGTAACGTAGGCAGGACTCAGTGCCAATAGCTGCTCTTACTTCTTCATTTCTCTGCCTGTCTCGTCTTGTGATGTTAAGGGTTTTGTGGAGACATTTCATTTCGCATGTGGTGATTTTGCTTTAATGGGATTTGCTTAGAATCCAGGTCTGGCACAGATAACATAATGTTCGTATGAATATTGAGGTGATAAGCTGTCTCTTTGTGTCCATGGAGATGTTTGGATGAGATAAGAGGGGTGTGAGCTGGTAGGTGACAGCGTTGACTTTTTGAGTTCGCATTTCTATTTCTCTGTCTATGGACCCGTTTTCAGAAAAAGTGCTGCCAAGATACTTAAACTCCTTCACCTGTTTCAGTTGTTTACTATTGACATGGATGTTCAGGGGACTTTGGTTTTGGCTAATATTCATAACTTCTTTTTTTGATGTGCTTATTTTCATGTTGAATTTCTCACAGATGTTGAGTTCGATAGTGTGATTTTGGAGGCTTTGTTGGTCATGATGAATAAGACATTGGTCGTCTGCGAACAGAAATTCATTTAGGCTTTCTGGGCTTTGGTTTGCGTCTTGCATTATTGTGTCCATATTTATTATAAACAAGAGGGGAGATAGAACGCACCTCTGTTGTATTCCAGATCTTACTTTGATCCAGTCTGTATTGCCTTCCTTCGTTCTTACTGAGCTTCTGCTGTTGGTGTATAGAGCTCTGACATTATCTAACATATGTCCTCTGACGCCGTACTTTTCGAGTGTCTTCCAGAGTTTTGCATGGCTTACTCTATCAAAAGCCTTCTCCTGGTCTCTAAAGATTATGTTGGATTCCTTGTTGAGTTCGATTGTATTCTCGCATATCTGTCGAAATGCAAATACAGCACCCGTGCATCCTCTTCCCTTTCGGAATCCAAACTGAGCTTTGCTCAGACTTCTCTCTATCATAGGTCTTGTGCGCTGCTCTAGTATCTTTGCACATATTTTCCCTGGGTGACTTAGCAAGGAGATGCCTCTGTATGTTGTGCAGTCGCGTTTGTTGCCTTTTTTCCAAAATGGTGCCACTATGGCTTTCTGCCAGTCTTCTGGGCATTTCCTTTGCTCCCAGACTCTGTTGAAAATTTGCCTCAGCCACAGTATACCGGTGTTTCCACAAGCTGTTATGGCTTCCGCTGTGATGTCATCTGGTCCTGGGGTTTTGTTCTTGGGGCTGGTTTTGAGTGCCTTTTCAATTTCACTGGAAAGTATGGGTGGTTCTGTTTGCTCTCCATATGATGGTTGGAACTCTTCTTTTTGTCCGTGGCAAGCGTCTGGGTTGAGTAGTTCATAGAAGTAATTTTCCCATCTTTTCTTTATGGCATGTTTGCCGAGAATGGCATTTCCCTTTTTATCGTTTATAATGCATGTCGGGTTGTATGGGCCTTTCCTTATCTGCATGCTCTTATCACTTTTATAAAATTCTCTTGGGTTTCCTTGCAGATTTTGGTCAGTTTCTCGCCATATATTTTATATGCATTTTCTTTAGTAGTTTTGATGATTCTTTTGGTCTCTCTTCTCGCTTTCCTGTATAGTCTTCTTCGGTCTTTGGCTTCTGCTATTTCTTGAATTTCTTCTTTTTCATTTTAATTGCTTCTTTTGTGCAGGAGTACAGTTTGAAAATGCCTATTTGGAGTCTCAAAAATATATGCGGGTATTGTTAGTCTATTATCTATATTCCATCACTCTCTGCAAGCCGGAAAGGGGATACAAACAAACTAAGGGTGGGTTCTTGTTTTCTAGATGCATTATGTTCGTCTCTCAGTCAAAAGGTTCAGGAATAGAATCCTGTCAGCGTTGAAAAATATCTATTCTCGAATATGTTCTCCTTTGTCTTTTTTCCTCTGCCTCCCCTCTCTCTCTCTCTCTC